GGAAAAACTAGCATGCAAAAATGGCCCTAAATGTGAGATAAAGAAGCAACTCACAGCTGCTGACCCCAAACAGATTAGAGCCCTTCAACAGAGTTGAAGAGGGGCCCAAAACATGATCTTTTACAGTTTATGGCAAACCACAAAAACCAGCACAGGTATGGCTAAACTCTTATGCAAGAAATGGGCCAAAAGATGGCCAAAGAAGCAAGTAGTGGTTGCTGGTCTTAAACACAAAGGGGCCCTTCAACAATGTTGAAGAGGGGCCAAAAATAATGCATTTTACAGTTGATGGCCGGACCCAAAACAGTACGAAAATATGTCCAAAATGCTATGCAAAAATGAGGCCCAAAAGAGAGATATAACATGAAGTGTATAAAAGATGCCTCAAACCATGAAAGGCCCTTAATGAAACATGAAGAATAGGACAAAATAAGGCTGTTTTCAGTTCTGAAAAGAGCCCAAAAATAGAAGCACAATAGGCTAATAAATCATGCAAAAATGGGGACCAAAGAGGGGTATAATGACAAGTGGCACATGGAGGTTCCAAACAGTGATGAGCCCTTCTTCAATGTTTAAGAAGGGCTCAAAATAAGCTCACTTACAGTTTACATCATGCTCCAAAACGGATCACACATAGGCTAAAAATACTATGCAAGATAATGTCATTTAAGAAGGATAATGAAGCAAGTGCATCAAGGGGGCCTTAAACAGTGAAAGGACCTTAAGAAAAAGTGAAAAGAAGCTCAAAAAAATTCCACTTTCAGTTAGTGCCGGAGCTCAAAACAGTAAGCATGTATGGCTAAGAAATGATACAAAAATAAGCTCAAAAGAGGGGAAATAGAACTTACCCTTGAAGACAAGTCTTTAGCAACTCTTGGCTTGAATTTGCAGCACCCCTAAGCTCTGGAGAACACCCTCAAACTGCTGGAGTGGAGGATGGAAGGGTAGGGCTTGGTGGTGTAGTGTAAAATGGTGTAGGGTTTGAAGAATGGAAGCTTGGAGATGGAGAGGGAGAGAGATATAATGCAAAGGGCTTGAAGGGAAATTTTCTAACCCTTTGGACAGAGCTGGCCAGCCAAGTATATGGACCAAAGAGGGGGGAAAAGGAGGGAAAGAAATGGGGGGAAAACAAGCCAAGTTGTCCCCCCAAAAGTTGTCCCCCCCGGATACAGATTTTTTGGGGGAAAAAAGTGTATAGCTGTAATGTACATATTGTAAGGATCATGGCCGGCCACTTTTTGGAGCTGCAGGTGGCCGGCCGGCCACCTCCCATGGCCGGCCGGCCAAGGGTCAAAAAGGTCAGGTGAGATTAATGGCCGGTCACCACAAATTGGTGTCCTCCCAGGTGCCCTCAACACAACCCTATGGTTCAAAATTGTCAACTGTAAAACAGGAGAGAGAATAGGCCATTTTTAGGAAGGGTTCAAAAGGGTCAGGCGGAATTACTGGCCGGCCACTAACTTTTAGGGTCCTTCCATGTGGTACAACACAAATATGTGGTTAGAAGTTCAAGAAAATAGTCCAAGGGTGGTCAACATTGGCTCGGAAGTGAGAAAAACGGGCGTCGGAGGGCGCCAGAGGAATATATAACTGCTTGCTGAAAAAATTGCTGGCCTCCCACCCTTCTACGGCCTTCCTGGTGATGAAACAGAGGTACCTGCCAAAAATGAACGAAAACCGATGCAAAACAAATGTTCGGGGGCCAGAACGCGCAGTTCGGGGCCCCGAAAACTGCCTGTTAAGCACCGAAAGTGGCATTCAACCACGAAGTGGGTCTCTCAGACCTCAGTGTCCCTCAAAAGGGAGCAAATAAGAAGTACGCCAAAAATCGGAGCAAAAGGAGATGGTTAAGCTGTCCCGAACCGAGGCACACGGCCTAACAGCTCCGAAAACCGGGAACCGGGCTCCGAAATGGGAAAAATGGCCTACGGCCACAAAATGTAGCCCACGGCCACTGAGAGATGGTCTACGGGACCTCTCCCTCCCCTCAGGAAAAGAAACAGAGAAAACCGAGCCTGGTTCACAAACCGAGGCAAAGCACAAAATAGTCCGAAAGTCCGGAGGCAAGGCTCGCAACCGAGAGTCTGAAACTTCTGGACGAGCACAAAATGCAGTATCACCAAGCGCTTAACTGGTGACGTCTGAGTCTCAAGGTCGGTCAAAAATGGGGTGTCTACACTCACCAAGTGGAGTTGGTTATGTTTGTTAGACCATCTCCAACGGTTCACCAAACTTGACATCAAATTTGAACTTTGGTGAAAAAGTTACCGTTTGGTACTCCAATGGTTTCACCAAATCGGTATCAAATTGAGAATTCACCAAAAAATTCATCAAAGTGAGAACAGGCAGGTTCTTTCACCATTTCACTGTGCGTGACCGTTGGGAAGAGCAACCGGTCGACCTGTCGGTTGACCGGCCGGTTGACTAACCGGTCCACTGGTTCCTTTGCAAAAATTTTGGTTCAAACTGGTCAAAAGGTTCAAAGAGGTAAAAAAAACAAAAAATATACCTTACCGGTTGACTGGCCGGTCAACCAACCGGTCAACCCACCAGCTGCAAATGGAGACGAACGAACACATCTCCTTCATAATAATTCATCACCTCCGGTTCCGTATAGAGCCTTAGACATTGAAAGCGTAGAGATCGTCCCTTCACCATCATCGAACGAGCCAGATGAACCAACACATAAATCTGTTGACCAGAATCAACGGCTCGCCTCTCTCGACATCTTCCGAGGCCTCACTGTCGCTGTACATGAGTGTTTATCTTAAATTTTCTTTACAACTCTTGCTGTTTGGTCACCGAGAATCTCTCTCGACAATTACTGATTGATTTCTTTCTCAAAGAAAAGAAAAGCAAATGAGTAAACTTTAATATTTAGTTTGTTTATTGACATGACAGTTGATGATTTTAAGTCCAGATTTTTTGATTTCATTTCTGATCAGTAATTCTTGGATCTTTGATCTGGAATGTGGGCTTACCGGTCGACCAACCGGTTGACCCACGGGAATTTGATGCACCGTTGGAGCAACTGATATCAAATTGAGAAAATGAGTCATTTTTTACTCAAATTTGGTGAAAAAAGAAGTTCACCGTTGGAGATGCTCTTAGTCTATTAAAATTAGAGAGTTAGACCATCTCCAACGGTTCACCAAACTTGACATCAAATTTGAATTTTGGTGAAAAAGTTACTGTTTGATGCTCCAACGGTTGCACCAAATCGGTATCAAATTGAGAATTCACCAAAAAGTTCATCAAAGTGAGAATATGCAGCTTCTTTCACCATTTCACTGTGCGTGACCGTTGGGAAGAGTAACCGGTCGACCTGTCGGTTGACTAGCTGGTTGACGAACCGGTCCACCGGTTCCCTTGCAAAAATTTTGGTTCAAACTGGTCAAAAGCTTCAAAGAGGTAAAATAAAAAAAAAAATATGCCTTACCGGTTGACCGGCCGATCAACCAACCGGTCAGCCCACCAACTGCAGATGGAGACGAACGAAAACATCTCCTTCATAATAATTCATCACCTCCGTTCTGTACAGAGCCTCAGACATTAAAAGTGTAGAGATCGTCCATTCGCCATCATCGAACGAGCCAGATGAACCAACACCTAAATCTGTTGACCAAAATCAACGGCTCACCTCTCTCGACGTCTTCCGACGCCTCACTGTCGCTGTACATGAGTGTTTATCTTAAATTTTCTTTACAACTCTTTCTGTTTGGTCACCGAGAATCTCTCTCAACAATTACTGATTGATTTCTTTCTCAAAGAAAAGAAAAGAAAAGGAGTAAACTTTAATATTTAGTTTGTTTGTTGACATGACAGTTGATGATTTTAAGTCCAGATTTTTTGATTTCATTTCTGAACAGTAATTCTTGGATCTTTGATCTGGAATGTGGGCTTACCGATCGACCAACCGGTTGACCCACGGGAATTTGATGCACCGTTGGAGCAACTGATATCAAATTGAGAAAATGAGTCATTTTTTACTCAAATTTGGTGAAAAAAGAAGTTCACCGTTGGAGATGCTCTTAGTTACATATTGTTGTATAAATAAACAATGTATCTTCTTGAATAAAGTTAGCTCAGTTTATTTTTTTCTTCAGTGTCATTTTTTAATTATTATTAAATTCATAAAAAAATTGAAAGGAGTTTGTGAAAAATTTGTGTAAAATTAGAGATTATTGAAGAAAGATTTTAAAAAAAAAAAAAAGAAGAAAAGTTTATAGTATTTGGTTTGATATGTTTTTTCAAACTTTTGTTTTGAATTTTTTGATTTTCATGTTTTTTTTTGTCTTTGACACTCTTTTTTTTTAATAACCATTTTATTTTCGTTTTAAATTCACTTAATTTAATACATTTTTATTTTTTTAATTTACTTTTAGATTTAGATTCACTTAATCTAAATACACTTAGAAATAATTTGTTGTGTATTCATTTTGGGGAAAAAATATAATAACAAAAAAAATCAATACATAATTGAATTTATAAATTTTTTTACTAATATTTTACTTTTTAATTATATTTAGATTATTAAATATAATATTTTCATGTAAAAGTATAATTTAAATATAAAATATGAAGAAATTCTAGTATCTTTAATCACCAAAACTAAGAAAATATGAAAAATAAAAAACTGAAAAACAGATTTAAAAAATAAAACCAATGAAAGTAATTCTCATTTTGAATTTTGATATCATACCTTGGTTATTAAAGTACCATGTAAAATATTATCATTCGCAAAAAATAATTTAAACAATAAGAAAGTGTATGAAGATAACCTACAAATTTTTTAGATACAACACAAATCTCTATTTTAAAAATGCATGATTTTTTGTTTGCCTAGATTCAAATGAATGCATATAGTTTTAAGATGCCCAATCCAAGTCTATATAATACCCATTGTCTTAATTCACTTCTTCATATCCACAATCAACTCATTCTCATTTTCTACACCTCTCTATTCCTTCTTTCCTTTCTTCCAATAGCCAAAAAGAAAAATGGGTGTCACCACTTATACCCAAGAGTTCACTACCTCAGTAGTACCCAATAGGATGTTCAGGGCTTTGATCCTTGACTCCCACAACCTCATCCCCAAGCTTCTCCCTCAATCCATCAAGAGCATTGAGTACGTTGAAGGCGATGGCAGTGTTGGAAGCATCAAGCAAACCAACTTACATGAAGGTATATATATTTGTCAATTTATACCCTTTTGCTATATTCTTTTTTACATTATTTTGCTAATAACTATGCTTGTTTTGTTTGTGCTATGACAGGGAGTCACATGAAGTGCTTGAAGCACAAGATCGATTTACTCGATGTGGAGAACTATGAGTGCAAGTACACTTTGATTGAAGGTGATGCATTGGGCGGCGCCGGCAAGCTTGAATCTCTCTCTTATGAGGTCAAGTTTGAGGCTATTGATGGCGGGAGCAAGGTGACAAGCACAAGCTACTATTACGCCAAAGGTGACATTGAGCTCACCGAAGAGGAAATGGCAGGTGGAAAAGACAAGGCCATGGGGATGTTCAAAGTTGTCGAAGAATACCTGATCGCAAACCCAGATGTCTACGCTTAAACCAAAATTTGTTATTGTTGTTCAGTCATTTTTTAAAATTATCTGTTCCTATGTTATGTATTTGAAGGTGTGAATTTTTGTTTTGTTTTGTTTTGTTTTATTTTTTTTGTTTATTTTTTTTTTTTTTAAAAAAAGTTGTTTGAAAAGCTACCTATAGCTTGAGAATAATGTAGCAAGTCTGCTGCTTCAATGTTGGATATCGATTTTAGAATTGATTTTTTTTTCTTCCTAGATATTCTTCATGGCTAATACGGTGAAATGAACCTAATTACATTGGCTTTGTGAACAATATTAATGGACCACAAATCAATATTAATTACTAAACTCAATCGAAATAGATAACAAAAACAAAATCTGTCGAGTTATAGTCCACGATCGAGTCGTTTGCATTCAAGTCTACGAAACTCATTGCATCAAGTATAGTAAATTAGTAATATGTTGTTGAAAATTTTAAAATAACTGGTCACGTGCGTTATACATGATAAATTTCACATATTATCTTATATTTTTTTTATTAATGTTTACGTATTAAAACTTAAAAAGTAGATTGAAACCAATCACATAAAATAATTAGTCCATATCACAAGGTTAGACTTATTACTATTAAATATAAAATTGATTGGGTTGTTTGACTTTTTTTATGTGTATGTATATAGAAACCACTTGGTAATTAAAATGTGAAAAAATAAAATATTTAACTGACATTGTAATATTATTATTATTTTGAAATAAAATAGGTAAAGGAAATTGAAAGTTAAAGTATTTTTATAAAATTCATTTTGTCTCTAGTTTGATCCTCTTTGCAGTTAAACTTTGAGAATTTGTTATATTGCTATTTTTCATTCCATTGATTTTCATCATTTTGTACTTCTGTTGCTACAATTTTTCCATATGTGCAATCTTTGTCATTCATCGTGTCCAGTCTTGTGTAAAATATGTATGCATGCCTAGAAGTAAGTTTTAGTGCCTTATAAAATTTGCTATTATTACCTTCATGCAATAACAATAACAATACTATAGTTTTTTTTTTTTTTGAATATGCAAAAAAGAAACCTTTATTGATGAACAAACCATACAAATTATAACAAATAAAGGAGAAGAAGAGCAGCATGCATCATAGGGAACTATCCCAATCCCAACTAGGTTGGCATCGGAAATAGAGGCCAATCAACTGCAAGCTCAACCCCAGGGGTTTGGAGAGGAACCAAACCCAACAGGAAAAAACAAACAAACAAACAAACAAACAAACAAGAGAACAAACACAAACAGAACAACAACAACTTGTAACAGCAAAGCATCAGATCAAAGCAGTCCAATAGCAGTAATTCAACAGACCATATCAGTTCAAAGCAGAACCGATCACAGACAGATGCAGACCAACAGCAGACCACAACCTCCCAAACTCATAGCCCACTATTCTTTCAGCTTTTGCCCCACAGTAGGGATCCTTAATAGTCCCTAAATACAGCAGTATAGCAACAACCTCAATCCTTAACTTCAGACCATCAACAAATCAATGATTCAGCAATCAAAAATTCAGGACCAAAAGCAAAAACAAAATAGAAAACATCAGTAAATCAGCTTTCCATTGAGGCTCCAAACCAATCACCAGAACCAACCCCTTCTAGACATTGGAATGCTACACAGATCAGTCACAGATTAGAAATCAACTACGCCACGAACTAATAATCAGACTCTGGATTCCTTCACCAAAAGCTGAGACGCCTATCCTAACTCACAAAGCAACCTTATAGCTCGCCCCTGGAACCACCTCCCACACAAAATCTAATGTGATCTATATTGAAGAAAAAATCATTCACTGTGAAAATATGATCCTTAAACACTTCCTTAAACCACACAACCAATCTAAAATTAATTAGATCAGTCACATCTACCACACTAGGGACAACAACCTTAAACAAGCATTCGTTTCGATGATTCCACGAAGACCACATTATAACCATTGGAATAGACTTCCACATCATACTCTCTTTTTTGCTAAGCCTCACCCCTGCCCACCAATAAAGAATATCCTTCATTGTTCCTAACAATGCACCTTGTTGTCACGACCCAAACCCGGCCCTATGGGTTTAGCACCGTAACCGGCCAGTAATCCGAGATTCTCTGTCACGTCCCGAACCCGGCCCTATGGGTTTAGCACCGTAACCGGCCAGTAATCCGAGATTCTCTGTCACGTCCCGAACCCGGCCCTATGGGTTTAGCACCGTAACCGGCCAGTAATCCGAGATTCTCTGTCACGTCCCGAACCCGGCCCTATGGGTTTAGCACCGTAACCGGCCAGTAATCCGAGATTCTCTGTCACGTCCCGAACCCGGCCCTATGGGTTTAGCACCGTAACCGGCCAGTAATCCGAGATTCTCTGTCACGTCCCGAACCCGGCCCTATGGGTTTAGCACCGTAACCGGCCAGTAATCCGAGATTCTCTGTCACGTCCCGAACCCGGCCCTATGGGTTTAGCACCGTAACCGGCCAGTAATCCGAGATTCTCTGTCACGTCCTTTGGTTTTCATAATTAACATTATCATAATTGGTTCGTATATATTCGATTTTCTCTACTAAGGTGAAGTATATGATAAAGAAACTTAGGTAATTAAAATCAATATACTAGAACTGTGTACAAAGAAAGCAAATATAGCAGAAATGATGATGAAAGTTTTACACAAATCAATTAAGTAGATGATAAAGAAATTTAGGCAATTAAAAATCAATATACTAAAACTATGGACAGAGAACGAAAATAAATAAATAAAAGTTGTGAAACATAGTTGATTGAAAGATAATGTGATCGACTGTTTGGTTCTAAAACAAAGTGGGCTGTTATGTTTTGATTAAAAACCATTGGGCTATGTAAGAAATTTGGTCCGAAACATCCAAAACAAAGTCTGTAATGCTGATTGTAGAATATATTTTTGATTGCAAAATAGGATTGTTCTGAACCCTCCAGAGCAAAATCGATTATTATTTGTGAAAGTGATGTAGTAGATTGTGACCGGCACTTATTTTGAACCCTCTGAAATAGAGTCTATTATTAATACACAAAATCCAATTGAAAAAAACAATCCAAGGGCTATCAGTTTGCCAACAATGCCACTTTGAATCATCACCACTCATTCAAAGTAGATTAATTGCAAAAATATTTTTTTTTCTTTATATATTTTCATGATTTTTAATTTGAATCTGACAAAATTTCTCACTCACCATTCATGAGAAGATAATGGATGAGACAAATATTGAATAGGCCACAGTAGTGGAATTATTGAAAAGATAATCATATTATGATGTTTGAAGATGTTTTATGGTTGAATGCACATCGTTCATGTAAAAGTAGTGGTTGAGACAAATATTGAACATGCCACAGTAGTAAAATTATTAAAAAAAATAATCATATTATGAAATTTGAAGGTGTTTGAATTCTAGAAAGTGTTTGGTTGTTCGGTTGATGTAGGTTGTTGTCTGATGTTTAATAAGTTTGAGAGGGTATTTTTAGGATATGAAAATAAGTAGAAAACTTGTGTTCTTCAAATTTTTTAAATAGTAGTAGATATTTAAACTTGAAAAAAAACTATTTTATATAATGTGATAAATGTAAAATAAATAGTGAGTCTAAGAATATAGTGGACCTTGCATGTGGGATCCATTATTTAATTTGTAGATAAATTATAAATACACCTTCTGAGATTTGCTTAAAATACGATTTATCCCTCTAATTCAGGAAATTACATCCCATCCCTTGAAGTTTCTAATTTCATAACAAATGACCGCTTTCATTAATAAATCATCAAGTCAATTAACGGTTTTTAATGATATCATAAATGTGTTTCAATTAATAATTCAAGTAATTTTATCATTGTATATGAAAGCAGTTAGAAATTTTATTTTTTCAGTTAGTTCTGTTAAACAAAAAAATTATGACAAGGGGTTATTTATAATTTTCCAAATTAGATAGGGCAATATGTATTTTAAACAAATCACAAAGGGTGTAATTGTAATTTACTTTTTATTTTTTGTATCTCATTACGTGAAAAATCAAAGCTCGCATGAAAAAACATCACACCCATACCAACAATGCTACATCCTCTTAATTTATCATCTCTAAATGACCCCTAATGATGTGGCATTAAGATTAGACCCCACATGATGAAATGTTTGCCAAAATAAAAGTTGACACTTGTCAGACACTTATATTAAATATTAATGTGTCTCACAACTGAAAATAATTCAAGGGGTTCATTTTGTTTTTGGTGCTGGGATGAATAAGCTCAAAAGATTAGAGAATTAAGGATACCCACCAAAAAACCCAATCCAATCCATAAGGATGTACTGAAAAATACAACATTTTTGTTGTGAAGAGAACTTAAACATTAATTACAGTCATGTTAGCTATTTTTGACACTTCAAATGTTTGAAATGTAATTTAAACGTGCCAGCAAAGATCTGAAAAGTCCTTATAGATAATAAATGCTAATTTTTATCAAGCGATTGCGTTAAGGTTCTCTTAGTCTCAATGAAGAGGACTTTACTGTGTTGTGTTGAAAAGTTGAGCCAAATCCTCAAATTTGTAACAGAATGGGAGGGAGAGACTAAGCGAAAATTGAAATTAATTAATTGAAAAAATAATTACAAAATGTTACCTTTAGTAAGGGCAACTTTGAAACTTCTAAACCGATTGTGTTCTGGAATTATAAGGCTAAGGAATGTAAGTGCAGTGCATAAAAGAAAAGTGCATAAATTTAAAGATAAATAAAATTAACAAAGGTGTAGAGTCTGGATTTTCTTGGGGGGTCTCTTTAGTTTTTGCTTCCATCTATTTATAGCCTTCTCTTGGCGTTTTCAAAGCAATTAGACTGCTATCTTTTGCCATGATCTCCTTCCTTTTCGCTACTTCTTAGGGCCACAATATTTCTAGTGCATGTGTAACTGCTAGCAACTACTCATTGTTAACTCCTTAACGTTCTTCTCACATGTTACTCATCACATTT